GTGGATAGGTGTTGGGGTGATCGTTACTATATATATCGTCCTCTTCTCGGTCACCTTGGATTCAAGTCCATCTGGTTTTTGTCTTATTATCCAATGTTTATTAATGCAAACTTGTTCTCGTCACTATATGGCTGGAATAATGCCGATGTGACGTAAAGACCAACTCAACTCAACTCATTACGTTTATTGCATTTATCACTTTCCTCTGACTGATCTTTGGCGAATCGGTCGCTTCACGCCACCCTATATTACATTTGCATAACTCATGCTTGAGTTTTGAGCTGTAGGTTTGTTGGTTCACTGTTACCGTAGGGCGGGTAGTGTTGTTTCTTTCTTCTTTTATATAATTCTTCTCTTTGCAATATTTCCCCGCATATGAGTGGAACCATGGTTCCTTCGCACTCCATATTTCCACTGATTTCACCTCTTCCTTTTCAGCGTCTTCTTTCGGAAATTCCATGAATTTTCGAGGAGCGTATTCTTTCCTGGAATGTTAATTCCATGCATTTGTCCATTTTACGAATTTTGGATTCATATCTTGGTAGTCTTTTCTCTAGAAGTTTTAATTCCGTTTGGAATCTTTGGACGGCCAACTCTTTGCGCATTTGGGTCTCTTCCTTCGGTTCATCTATGATCTTATGTATCCAAAATTTGCGTGGCAGTACTGGTTCCTCACTGTTAAGCCATTATCTGTAGATTTCTACTTTACGTTAAGCATCGTAGAATGCAATCGTTCTTTCACTGAGTGTACTCTGCCATTTGGAATACATACGATTCTTTCTCAGATTTGCTTCATGTTCAGCCGACAAATATGGCACATGGGCATGGTCATTTTTAGAACATATTGATGTCATTGTTTCAGTTAGGGTTTCACATACCTTGAGAAACTGTGCCTCGCTGAACAGGTTTTCTTTCGTCCCGTTTTCTTGACTGTTTTCCCCGGCATCAGTTTTTTGCAATATTTGTCCTCTTGATTTTCTTCAGAATTTCCAGTAAAGTATTGTTGGTTACATCCAACTTGTCACTGAATTCTTCCAGTCTCTCTTTATCTTTGTCACAATCGTTGTTTTCAACGGATGATTTTGACTTTGTACTTGTAACAGTCATACCCTATATTCAGATTTATTAACTGAATGTAACTTTACCGAGATAGTAGTACCGAGATATGTTACTTGACATATTGAACTTTATACACCATAAATTATATGTCAATAAGTGATTTCTACAGGTGTATAAGCAATAAATATATAAAATAAGTCCGGATATTTCTTCTTGCCAAACTCCTTTATATCAGCACAAGATCTTTCGCCGTTCAACGGCTCTTCAGGTGAACAATGAAAGCTGAGTGTCGTCAGAGGCGACACATAACGGTAATATCTATGTCGTCATCATGCGTATGACGTTACAGTTAGTGACAATAGCGGGAGACATAAAACGTAGTCATGGGTGACAGTAAGGTTACCTATAATGTGACGTAAATATTCCATATGCAATGGCAAGAAGAGTGTGTACTATTGTACTATTGTTATGGGATTCTAAACCTCGATCACCTGACCCTTTAACCTGTATGCGCGGACGTCGGAGAGCACAACCTTTCCTGGTCGACAGAGGCAATACAATACAATAGCCAGGTAAAGAAACCACACAGTGTTTCTTAACAAAGGGAATACCCGAATTGCAAAATAACCCCTAAACCAATACGGAAGATGTAAGTATCAAAATAGTGCTGAACAGAAGCTATGCATCGGTACCATTGGAGATTTACATTCACACATGTACAATTATTGAGAACATTAAGCTATGTACAAGTATTAAGGAGGCAAATGTGACTACAAATACATGTGAAATAGCTGCAAGTTCTAGATAATCCCATGCCTGAATGCCTGAAATGCCTGAATGCCTGAAAACGTTATAAAGTTAACCATATTCGGAACATGAATAAGGTAGCAAAGGAATATGAGATAACATATATACATCAAATACACAGCCTACATAACGAAAGTATGCGATTAGGCAGAGTAAACTATACGGGTCACCAATTTCTCTGGCAATATATTTAAAGACACTGGACATCGACGGAAATTGCCGTGCAGCGATGGAAAACGTACAATTAAGGGAGAGGGTGAGAGATCGTGACTAGAGAGGTTTTTCTACCTAGTGACAAAGTAGCTTGGAAATGTAGTACTGACTGAGTTTGGTTTTACGTCACTTTTAGCAATATTCCAGCAACATCACGGCGGGGGACACCAGAAATGGGCTTCACACATTGTGCCAATGTGGGGATTCGAACCCGGATCTTCGGCGTGACGAGCCAACGCTTTAACCATTAGGCTACCCCACCGCCCCTGGAAATGTAGTAGGAATGATATTTATGTGTATATGCAGTTTGTTTTTCCACACCCAAGAGCTTAGTGATGGCTCTACATAATTACGACCCCGGTCAATGGATAACCTTACATATTGTGTGTCCTATTGAGTACACAACCAAAAGAAAACATTCTTTTAGGTGAAAAGAGGGGGGTTTTCACATTCACGTTCACATTCACATTGCCATGTCAACCTACTGGGTACAACTTTTGAACAAACGCACCTGCCTTATGAGCGTCCGTGCGTTTTATGACTGTTCTTGAGGACAGAGCCAGAATGATGTCCCAGGCATCAAACTTGCAAATCACCCATTCATTTACCTTCCTCCGCCAGCGTTGCATAGTTTAACCTCATTGGCGACATGTGGGCTATGCAAAAGTCGACGTGACTGAAATATAAGGGAAAATGCAAGACCATGAATGACGTTCTGGGCGGCCAAACGGGAAATGAGAACTGACCTTAACTCCACACTGAAACAAAATTCGCACCATTGAGCTAGCAGATAAGCTTTCACGGCAAAGGGCTAAGAGATTTATATACTATAATATTACTAGGTTAACGAGAGGTGTTGATGGACGATATGACGGTCCTGGCGACGTTTTGTTACACGGGATCGACCACTACGTGGACGGTCATCAGTGCTGTTGGTGGCGTTGCATCGCTATCTTAGACGTTCTATCGTTTGTATGTTGCAGTTGAAATCATTAGCAATGACTCGAGCACGTTGACCAGCGTCTAGGCGTTCAATGGCTTCTTGTCGTTGATCTCTCGTTAACCTAGCCATAGATGCTGTGTTCAGAAAACAAGTGAACGATCGCCATTCAAGCCGGCAATGTATGCTTGAATGCATGCATGATGCACGTGCATCTCGATTTCAATGTTGTGTTTTTGTGAAGTCTTCCCTTCCCACAAACAAAAACATTTCAAACCTCAGTCTCAAACAATACTTTATTAGGCAAAACAGGCTATACGACCACGATTCATGTTTTCCTCAAACTTGACTTCTGGTGTATATTTATTTAATAATATAGGTTCAAATACTCCATTGATACTTAAATGTCATTTCCAATATTACGACGTTTCTTTTGTTAGAGAAGTGATAAGCTGTGTGACTGTTGCCATCGATTCATCGTGTTTTGAAATAAAATGCACTAAAACTCATAAATATTTACATAAATTCTGAGCACTAAAACTCATTCTGAGCACTAAAACTCATAAATATTTACATAAATTCTGAGCAGGAACAGAAAATTCACAACAATTTGAGCTTCTGGAGACGTTAGCTGCAAAACTGCGCCTCGATTTTCGTCATCTTTTTTTCATTATGTACTACTGTATTATTGAGCTGATCACGTTACGTCCCGTTTTTTTATGCAGTACTGACATTTGGTAACACCAAATGACTTTGCCATTTTTGCGTGACAATCCCATGTGGCTCACACCAGGAACGGACTGGAACGTTCCCTCAATATGTGCCGTGCCAAATTGAGCAGCATGACTATCAAAGGGTACTATACATTACCTTAACCATGATGACATGCGCTGTCACAGACATAGACACGTAGCGCATCACAACAGGACTTGGGACTTGTCGTGGGTGAGTTTCTGATCCACACTCTCTGTCGTTGTTAAATTATATCTTTATTCAGTTCATATAGGCTGATGTCCTGCAATATATTTAACTTTCATCTCATTCAATATGCTCAAAACAGGACACGCTTTAGTGTTATCTCTCTTAAAAGGTACCAAAGGGCCAAAGTCCCTTGAGTCTCAATTTGGTGATCATATACGGTAGTGTTGGGAATTGGTTAAAATCTCATAATTGATGATTGGTTCATTACCACCGATCAATCATCGAAAATAATTGGTTAGCGACATTTATGAAATTTGTTAATGCGCTTAAAAATAAGGAAAACAAAAACATGTAGTTCTTTTGGGGTGTTTTGGCAAAATTTCATATCTTTAAAGGATGACTAGTATGTTAGGAACATAAATTTCTTGGAATCTTTAAGATAAATTCAATCATGACTTGAAACGAGCTTGTAGTGCTTACGAAATATAACAGACAAAACCAACCATGTGAAAAATATTGTTAATGAAAACAAATGTTCCAGAATTGTTTGTGTTCGATTATGAGAAATTATGATCGAGTGCTTGGTCGTTTAGTCACTACGACCAATCTTCGATTATTTCAATTAATCGGACCACCACTAATATACGGTGATAGTATTGAAAACAGTAAACAGAAAGAGACGATAACAAAGAACAGACAACAAAGAAATGGTCCCATTACGACATAGATAAATCAAGCAACGATTGAAGAATATGTTTTGTGTAGCTAATTCAAAAGCCGTTACATTTGAGCCAGGTTAATTCAACTGTTGCAATTTCATACAGATACGTCAACGCCAGCGAATATTGAGTCTCGATTATCTGCGGCATAAAACTGACGACATTTTAATATGGATCAGGGAGACCCTTCAAAGGAGAAACTGGTAGTAAAACACGGGGACGATAAAACCGGAAATGACGGCCATGATTTCGAACAAGCGGAAATGGCGTTATATGCCATTGGCGGAACAAGCCCAACATGTCTCGAAAGATGTTCAACCATAAACGTTTTTACAGGAACCATGTCGGTCTGTGTCCTATTGACGTCCACGTTGAATACCTATGTCAACTCCCAGGTAACCACGCTTGAGAAACAGTTCGGGTTGAGCAGTTCCGAAACTGGGTTGCTGATGGCGAGTAATGACATTGGATATATCACCGTTGGCATTTTTATCAGCTATTTTGCTCCTCGGGTACACATTCCCCGCTTTTTGGCTCTCTCCACGGTTCTGTTTGGCATTTCCGGTATCATTTGCAGTTTGCCCCATTTTCTGTATGGGGTGGAGCAAAAAAGTGGCGACAGTCTATCAGAGAATAACACTGTCGTGAGAAACAATTTTATTGGTCAGTTGTGTTTAAACGCTAGCCAATCAGAGACAGATTCGTGTGATTCAAATGAAGATGGAAGCCCTAAGCCCCGTGATCATGCTACAGCAGCTGTGGCCATCATTGCCATGGGGATGATCATCCAAGGCATCTCCAAGGCACCAAGGCATCCTTTCCTGGTTACCTTCATCGACGATAATGTTGTCAAGACCAAAACGGGCTACTATCTCGGTAAAATTACATTCAGTTAATAAATCTGAATATAGTATATGACTGTTACAAAATTTAGTTCATGAGCCAACATGTTTCCTTTGAGTTTTCTTCTCTAACGTGCATGTTGTATAGTTTGTACATATTATCTAATAATCCGTTATTAAAACATATAACATTTTCATTCATGAACTCCAGTCATATAAAATAGGGAAATGATCCATTTGAGAGAGATGAATATCTCCCTTGAAAGCAGACTCCATTTCTGATAGTCTGTAAATACCAGTTACTGAAGAATATGGCGGACTGTTGTACACTTTCGATCAGATTAGTGATCACATAATTGTCTGGTCCATAATTGTCAGCCGCCATATACAAGGGGCGATCAAAAAGAAAAGTATGTAGAATCACCAAGAAAACGATGCAAATGCAGTTATTTTTATGTTTTATTTTTCTACATATGATCTGTCAAGCTCAAGCAATTTGGTTGGTCTCACGATCCCCATTTTGTTAGGTACCCTCAAAAAACGCAAAATCTACAATAAATGCATAAAAAACTTCAGGAAACAAAATATGCAAGAAATATTTTGTTTGTTTGACATTGAAAGAAGTCCCTAGAATTACACTTAGATATTAAAGTTCATAAAAAAGCAATTTGAAATTACAATCGCTTGTTAAAGTGACTCTCCCCTTCATGATGACTGAAAGAGTTTGTTATGGAGACACTACCCTTCCCCCTTTCAGATGACGTATCCATAAGGGCATAGCTTATTCTAATGTTTTCACTTATGCATACATGATGTCAAGGGTTCAAACTAAATACTGAATGGTCACACAAGTGTCAGCTCAAAATGTATTGTAAACAGTGCCAGCTTAAAAATCTGGACAGAATGTTTTTGAAAGATTAAAATGGGGGTGTCCTTAAAAAATAGACCCCGACTAAATATAAATCAGGCAATCCAAATCTTTGACTGTTGATCATGACGGGAAGTGATCCAATACTACACTCAACATATTTTGTATGACATTATCTGAAGGCATACCATTATCCAAGAGGTACCAAAAGACAAATCGTTTTCCATTTTCTGCAATTTTCCCAATGTGTTGTAATGACAAATATCTTGTTAACCAGATTACCCACACATGTGACATTTTGGATATGGCTTTGCTAACGATTCCTTCAAAATAACATGGAAGCTTTTCAAACATTGGACATTGAGAATATAGTTAGGCTACGTACTAGAACTTTTTGATCGACCCTCGTATCTGAAATGTTGCTGACTGTTTCTTTAAACGCAAACAATGACACTAATTCTTGGATTGGCGGTCTTGTAGGTTCATCTCAACCTTCCTTTCACATCATGCTGACACGCCGTTATATGACTTAATTACTCTGAAAACGTCGTGGACACGGGCTAGAATTGGTCTTCTGTAACCCATGCTTGTCGTAAGTGGCGACTAACGGGATTGGGTGGTCAGGCTCGATGTCTCGGTTGACACAAGGCATCGTATCCCAACTGGGTAAATCGATGCTCATGACGTTGAGGAATGAACTGTCGAATCCAGACACGATTGTTTACAGACTGAGTACATAGCTGGAATATTGTTGAGTGCGGCTTTAAACAATAACACACAAACCATACTGCGTTAAACCAACCCTCAGTTGTCCCCTGTACAGTTGACAAGATGTCAAAAAAAAGCACACAAAATGCGTTCGAACTTGTTACAATAGCCAGTGATATGTGTATTTGTTTGTGTCTGTTTGTTTTATCTGCCTTTATCATACATATGTTTGTTCAGGAATCATTATCACCATCGCTATCTTGGGACCTGCGATCGCATATTCTCTTGGCGGTCTGTTCACAAGAATATACGTAACACTGGAAGGTAAGGTTTGCAGAGCCAAGGTTTGAAGTAATTGTTCTTTAAAATATATAGTTTGGTATATTTCTCTAGCTGTGAAAAACATATGCAGTTTGTATAAGAAGCAGCACTGAAATAAACATCTCTGATAAACAGAGCAGGTGTATATGACCATTGGTAAAGTCTTTTGTTACCAGAGGAATGCTAGTATTTTCAAAGAGAATATTTCAAAACACGAATCTCGTCTTCATAAAATCGGTTATCTTCGTAGCTTCCTTCCTCTCTCATTCACTAGTTTACTCATTCCTTCACTCACATTAGCAACTGATCTACATCCCCGCCATCCGAAGTGGGTGGGAGCCTGGTGGTTGGGGTACATCGTGTTCGGAGCGGCCTCCATCTTGGCTGCCTTCCCAGTGTTCCTCTTCCCGCGCAGACTCAGAGGAGCTCCCCCACCGGAAGAGCCAGTACTAAAGAAAACAGAAGTCGTTAAAGGAGACACAAACAGACATCAAGTCCTGAAAGAAATTAAAAGTAACCAACTGTTTCATATAGATGACTCTTCATTTAACTGCAAAGATTATTTTCGCAAAGTTAAAAGGTGCTGACGCTGATGTCGGACATTTTCACATCAGTTGAACCAATCAACGAACCAAAAGAGCTTTATTGAACGTGAAAAGCGTTCACACCCCACATAATTTCAAAATGATATTCAAATCGTTCTATTTGGATTGACACGCATTTATGTATGTTTAGGAATCCATTGTGAGCTCAATGCACACGTTAAGAGAACCAAGTTTTGTCAGAAATCAGAAGCCAAAATACGGCTCCAGGAACGGAATGCACATGCAACTGTAACGCAGAACCTCTCATTGGAACAATGGTCCATCGGATGCGTTCTTGCACTAAACTTACGTATTATTGCACGACATAATTAGTTATCAGTGAAATACCACTCGTAAATGAACATTGTTTTAATACACTGGGTGAAAAGCAGGCATTCGTGAGAATAATATAGATACTCCTTGATAATCTTTCCAGATTATTGCCGTATACTGAGAAACATCATGACAAATCCCATATACGTGTTGCTGCTTTTCTCAACTATGAGTCTCATCTTCGGTGTTGGAGGGTTGCACTCCTTCATGCCAAAGTACATCGAGAACCAGTTCGGTCTTGAAGCATGGAAAGCAAATCTCATAATGGGTAAGTCGTTCTTTAAATTGAAATTCCAAGAAATATTTTGCACAGTTTTGACAGTTACACGGGTTCTCTGTGATTCTACTACGCGTCTGGGCGTACATACAACCTTTTGATCAAAACCAAGCACGTGTACATTAATATCTCTACCATGCTGAAACTTTTAAAGGGTTCTGTACTTCCAATAACGACTGACTGACTGAGTTTAGTTTTACGCCGCTTTTAGCAATATTCCAGCAATATCACGGCGGGAAACACCAGAAATGGGCTTCACACATTGTGCCCATGTCGGGAATCGAACCCGGTCTTCGGCGTGACCAGCCAACGCTTTAACCACTAGGCTACCCCACCGCCCTACTTCCAATAACGAAGCGTCTGGGGCTGGTTCTTGGGTTTTTCGTTTCTGTCAGCGACTGTCAGATACTTTATGGAACTGTTATTTATATTTTCCAGCTGGTCTCGCCCTGTCAACGGCCTCTGTTGGGACGTTTATCGGTGGCTGGTTGACAAAGAGGTTCAAGATGGGACCAATGACTGCCATCAAGTTTACCTGCTTTTTGTATTTCGCAGTGGTGGTTTTTTACGGTCTTGGCTTTGTATTTGGATGTGAACAACCAGAAATTGTCAACACGCCAGGGTAAATATATCAAAAACCTTTCCGTCATCATGTAAAGTTTAAAAAACTTATTCTAATTCAGATACAAAAAAAGAAATATATTAAATATTTCTTCTATCACCTTAGAGATGGCATATATTATAATTAAATTAGTAATATCAAAATTAGTATTTTTAAGATATTTTTTTTCAAAAGTCAATATTAATAGCAAAACGGTTAAAACTATTTGCATTCCGGAAACTACTGAGAGTTAATGAGCAGAGTTGTTATCACGTGACCTGACGTCATAGTAGTAGGTCGACTTGCTGCAGATCGCTCTTAACGTGTAGAGTTTAAAAGTTCACTAATGTTCTCGATGGCATCGAGACATTAACACCCACGAAAAGGTTGAATTTTCGCTCAATATCCTACATACCAATAAGAGTTCGGTTAGTCAAAATAATAGGTCTTTGCACTTGGAAATCTAAGGAAATGGCACTTGGTACCTTTGCTTGATGAGATGAGGTGAGGTGAAATTGGGTTTTACGTCGTGCTTGAGAATATTTCGCTCATATGACGACGTGCATGCGTGTGTATGTGTATGTGCGGCTGCTTGTTCTAGCCCAGACTTAAGCTGGTTTTATAGTGTTAGCCCACTGAGATACCATACCGCGGTGAAGCATGAATACCCCACTCAGATACATTATACTGACTCCGAGCCGACCAGTCCTTGTTGTACCCATTAATGCCGAGCGCCAGGCAGGGACCAACAAGTACCATATTTTAACGTATTTTGGTATGACGCGGTCGGGGATCGAACCCGCGACCTTCCGCTCTCTGGGCGGACGCTCTAACCAGTACACCACGGAGGCGGTCCTTTGCTTAATGAACCGGTACATCCCCACGCAACACAAAATCCCATTTAGCGCCTTCTTCACGCAGAGAACAACGGAAATCACTTCTTTATCATGTTGATATAAGCACTAAAATGAAACATACAACTTTATGGATGACAACTTCCTGTTTATTGTATACAGCGACGTTTCGATGTAGATTCTTACACCGTTATCAAGCTAAAGGTGACTTCAACCAAGTGATGAGAAGTGTATAGACATGGTATGTTTTGCTAAACAGCAGATAACATGGTACGTTATGACAAACAACAGATAACATGGTATGTTTTGCTAAACAGCAGATAACATGGTACGTTATGACAAACAACAGATAACATGGTATGTTATGACAAACAGCAGATTAACAACAACAACATGTAATTGAATAACAAGTGGTACATATTTGGAAGAGGCTAGTTGGGGAGGTGTCCTCCCAAAACGCAGAACTCCAAAATCGCATAACCCTTAAAACAGCACAGTTTATGGTTGCTTGCACTTGGATTGTCTATACTGTACCCTTGTATTTAAGTTGGTATGGTCTAAGAAATGACAACAGTGACTCCATTTATTGAGTATATTCCATGTTCGAAAAAGAACAACAAATAGCACTGGTGATGAAGGCAATAAACACAGGGGATTAAATAGTAACAACAAGCTGACAGGGTGCTTTGAGTACATAGTTGGATTCATTCTTCACAGGCCGATCGTATGTAATCTGTTCTATGCAATAAACAAGAAGTTGTCATCCATAAAGTTGTATGTTTCGTGTTTGACTCACCAACTTCTAAGATGCCGATAAGCACGGTAAACAAAGGAACATGGCCGTCGTCTCGCATCTATGACGTCACAGCCGACTCTGCCAGAAACTGGGATTACAATATGCATACGCTCTGGCTATCGGATTTGGGCAGTTGTTTGTTACTTTGTAGAATACAATGAAAGAACATCTGACTTTTTTGCGTGTTTCAATGTATACTTTGTTTGATCCTTTAGAACATATTTCAAAAAGTGATTCAATTTATCTCCTTTTATCATAAATATTTTCAACCATTTTGGTCGTTACGTGATTTGCGACATTCCGCTATTCGACAAATAAATGATAGTATGATGTAGCGTAAGATTTTGTTTTATTACTCAGATCAGCAGCGACCAGTTGTCCATCCGGATGTCCGTGTAATGACCTGAAATATTTCCCTGTCTGTGGGTCGGACGGCCGAAACTACTTCTCCCCTTGCCATGCCGGATGCAGCTTCCACGAAAAAGGGGTATTGTAATCCATCTGAATAGATAGATCCTTATGGGCAGAACGTGTTATATTCATCAGTGTGCACGTGAGAAGGATGGAAACGACACTTTTCGGCTACATTTGGAAAATCAGATAATGGGTCGGATTTTCAACAAACCAAACCAAAACAGCTTGGTTCAGTATAATTTTGTGGCTGAAAATGTATCTTGTTTCAACAATCTAAAGCCTTTTTTCAAGCATTCTTTGGGGATTTTTTTTTGTCCCTCCCCTTCCCTCTACATATATAACTAACTGACAGGAAAACAGATGATGACTAGCGGATAATGACACAGGTAGTGTCCGCATTTCTTATATATTAATTATATATAATGTATCAAGTTCTTGTATATTGATAAACGAGTAGGAGTAAGTTTGACCGTTTTGAGGACGTTGAACCGTTTTGCATGGTTCTAAAACCTGTGTTTACCGAGTGTATTTGGTGTCATCTTCATCTGTATGGTATCTTGTTTCGTTGTGTAGACATACACGAACTGCACGTGCATCCCGGGGGGTGAGGCAACGTCGGGGTCGTGTGAGTACGACTGCCCTCTAGCTTACCCCTACTTCATAGCCATCGGTCTGTCCTTCCTGGTGTCAACTATGGCTATCATGCCCAAGATAATATCTGAAATCAGGTGAGCTAAGTCCTTCAGTTGGCTATCCTTTACTATTTATCCTCCCTTCACTAACCCGCTAGGTGCGCTGATCCAGACGGTCCAACCTTAAACTGACAGCGCATGTCGTATACGCGATGCGAGCTGTACGTGTTATTATTACACTCAGAGAAAGTTAACCAGTATAACCTTCACCTTCAGCGGTAACGTTGACGCTGGTGTATTGTGTGTGTGCGTGCGTGCGTGTGTGTGTGTGTGTGAGAGAGAGAGAGAGACAGAGAGACAGAGAGAGAGAGAGAAGTTCCTACTTTTAACTGAGACTTTGAGATGTTGGAGTGAAGATATTTAGATTATGAAATCAAAGATAACACGCATTTATCATCTCACTGTAAACACCATGAAAATAAAATATAAATGTGTTGTAACACTGCGTGTACATCAATGAGATGTTTTCATTACACGTGTACAATATATACTATGATGGTTAAAGTCTGCTATGACACAAAGATGGAGATTATCAAGAACATTAAAGAATGAAATGTATTTTACACTACTTCATTCATTCATTCTATAATTTAAGTGAAATAACAACTAAATTTATTAACTCAGTCGCCAAGAAAATCCGCCTGAATATTAAAGAATGAAATGTATGTTATACTACTTCTTGTTCAATCATTTAAATCATTTCAAACTTAGAGTTATTGCCCTTCGGTACAAACGGATCGGCCATTATACTTAACTAACTCCTTCAGACCTGAAACCACGCTTTTTGACATAATTGAATGTTCTGTGCTTGGATTCTTGTAGTTTATCGTACACCGAATTTGTGGAGCGTTGCTCACAATATCAACCATTTGTTTGTCTGTCCCAGAACGCCCCATAACTGGAATATTACTATGTGCGGCGTAACAGATACGCGAAACTAAACTACACAATGATCTACGAGCAATGAAATTGATACCGTCTGGATGAACGTGGTTTAACGGGACTTTGATGACGTAATGTCACGGAAATCACCAGGTAATGACTACGGTAAACGGTGTAACGGCGAGGAACATTGTTCATATCAATCACTAGTTTATCTGGTTCGAAACTTAATGATATAATCTCAACAGATGCGTGACGGAGGATGAGAAGCCGCTGTCCATCGGCGTGATGACTGTCCTGGCGTCACTGTTTGGTAAGTACAGCAGGTCTCCACTGTTGATGACGCTTTGGAGGTAGGAGACTTGGGTAAATCGCAATACGCTGATGCCTGCTGGTTCACACTTTATTATGAAGAACAACAATTGCTGAGGATGTTAAATGCCCCATTTAAAAGTGTCAATCCCATCACAAATGGCACTTATAAGGCTGTAAAATGATTTTTTTAGAAGCATACACTATGTGAATGCCCCCACACCCCGTAAATTTTATGTACAAAGTAAGTGATCCCCTGCAAAATCAATGCCACCCCTTCCCATAATTTCTAAGCATACTTTTTTAATATTCATATGTACAAAATTGATGCCCCCCTCCCTACATGTGTACAAAATTGATGCCGATCCCTCCTCAGAACAAAATGGGTGACCCCCCTTAAAACCATCATCACTCACTCACTATATATATATAATATGGATTTCCCTTAGTGAGGGGCTGAATGCTGTTTTACGCCCAAATCAGCAACATTTCGGCAATCAATCGGCAATGTACCTCAGCTTGTGTAATCTGGCACAGACAAAGCGATTGTGGCCAAGATGAGCTGTGTACCCATTCTCGATAATCTCCAGGGTATATGTTCCGATAAATCTCCACCATACCCTGGATGCATCTACGGCTCGGCCCGATGATTTTATTACCTCCCTTGGCTGGCTTTTTATCCAATCAGATGTCTACGCTGGGAAGTTGAGCGTACCAATCACAACTCACTTTCGCTTCTTAAATTATCTAACACAACACAATTGGCAACACAATTGATGCAGTGGTACTCTGAAAGAGGTAGAAGGGGTTCTTGCATATATATTTTTAAAGTTTCAGACCTGTCAATTTGTCTGTATGATTTCCCCAAAAATGCGACCGCTATCTTTGTTGACACTGGCAAGCTCTGTTGTAACGGCTTAGCTGATTGGCTACTGTGAGAATGCGGAGCCAGCAAAGGGAGGTAATGAAATTATCGGGCTGAGCCATAGATGCATCCAGAATATAGTGGAGATTTATCGGAACATATTCCCTGGAGATTATCGACGATGCTGTGTACCACACCGTCTGGGTACCATTAGGTACAGAACCCGGTCACCCAATCCCCATTATAGGGTTTGCCGAGGTACTGGAGATCTATTCTGACCCAAAACCCTCCGATCGTTTGATGGTTTGCTCGTTTCGGTTTAGTGTTGGTTTTAAGGTCGCATTCAGCAATATCCAAGCTGTATGAGGACGTTCGTTAGTTCATCGTGTTTTGACCTGACAATCCGGCGATTAACATGGTGAGAATCAATCTACGCCATTGTGATACATCATACCAAGTCAGCGAGCCTGGGCGCCGTCGTACAAAACAACCTTTGCGCTAAATCTATGTACAAGTATAGGGGTTACGACCACCTTAATGCTAATATTGCTTTGTACAACGGCACTCAGACCACGCAACCCGAATCGCCCGGGTTGCTTTTAAAAGATCAATTGTTACCCGGATCCTTGTGATGATAGATGTGGGTAAATGTATAGTACGTTTACATTTCACAGTAGTTCTAATGTGTATTTAAATCATACACACACATCTCAGAGATGTATTATTTACCTCATCGTGGTCATTATTATTGTTATTAGTGATTTTATGTAATTGTTTTACAGGATGGTTATTGTCCCCTTTAGTATTCGGCCGGGTCATTGATTCAAGCTGCCTCCTATGGGACTCGGCCTGCGAAAAAAGGGGCGCATGCCTACTCTACGATATGGCCGACTTCCGGATCAAACTCCATAGCCTCGTTTTGGGAGCACGCGGTGTCTCGTTTGCATTTACTTGTTTGGCATGTCTTGTGGCCATAAAGACAAAGAAGTGGGAACAAAAAGAGGAAAAGGAAACGTTGAAAGAATCGTGATGACTGAATGAATTGCCAGGAGCTTGATCTATATTCAGTCCTTGGACTCTTATACACAGTATATACCATATTCAGATTCTTCACTGGTGATTATAATAACTAATGCAGCTAATGCAACATTTTTACAATGGCTGAAATGATATCAGGATGATTGCAACAGAAACAATAACAGAACTGTAACCTAAATTCGTGGATAACCTTGATTCGTGGATCGCGGAAATTATCATGCTAGCTCGTAAATTAAATCTTAACTGACATCGAGAAGCGGTACTTTTGATATACATACAATGCAACGCCTCGCTAACAAAAAAGTTCCGAATCGCTGCATTACATGCAAGTACACTAAATATAATTGTCCAGCATTGAGATAAATAGCCCCAGATCACTAATACCACCATTACCAAATTTTATTTTTACAAAATGTCAAGTAAAAAAGATACCGTTAGCTCCAACCTTCTCACTTCTCGTTGTCTGCTTTCCTTGGTGTCAATACTTACTGCAGTGGGATACATAGTGGTATAAAGTAACCGACTACGTAATCCACGAAACAAGGTGACGTCACATTTTGTGGGCACATGAATGGGTGATGATTGCAAATGGCTTCCGTTTCATTCACGAGTGGAATATTAGGCATTTTCAATTTGCTGAATCAATGAATAAAATAATCAGTGCGTATACAAAATGAAATCATGCATTTAAAATATGAATTTCGCCGCACTTCCCTTATATCCCCGAATCAAGGTTACGTGAGTGTACATGTTTAATTTAAGTCATAGCGTAGTGACAACAAATGGTGTCTCACAAAATACTAATGTGGATATTGTAGGAGAAAGAGAAATATGTTTTATTGGTAGAGCCTGGTAACTTTGTGTAAATTCACCTTGGTAAATTATATTTGGAACCGAAGGCGTAGTGCCATCTATTGAATTTAGATGCAGGTTATTGTGATTGTACACCCCTGGATGATTATTATGATTTGAAAGCACCGACAAACTAGAATCGCGAATTTTCCATGGTACAGCTTGCATTAATATACATGACGATAGTATTACACGTCAACGCCTGAAAATGACCAGTCTCGATTGCCCGCCGAAATACATTCCGTTACACACAAAAGCAAAACTATTAGTGAGGCTATCACCATATGTCTACCTGCCTCCTACTATTGTCTGGTTTTAATGAATGAGTGTTATTTTTCGTATTTTGGATAAATAGTTTTAATTAATTATCAGTGTGGACGTGTTCTCATTGTATTACGTCTGCCTACCGGAACTATCGCCAGGAACTATCTCTTGGTCAATGACAATTCACACTTTTAACCCAGTGTTAAAAGTTTTGCCACTTGCGATGTATTCTATGTACAGGATACGATGACAATTGAGAAATCTCAAATGGCCTTACTGATCACTCAGGCTGCTTTAAAAACATACTCAGGCATACTTTTCTCAATAGTGTTCTTGGCTGTAGGACATTTAAAACAACATACATGTACGTGTAAGACTTGCGTTATACACCCCCACCCACCACCCCTTCCCTCATTATCTGGGTAACCGGACAAAATCCCCAAAAGTGCATCAAAATCCCCGGGACCCCACCCCGACAAAATCCCAGCAAGGAAAGACAGTCAAGAGATTAAGACATCCATTTATTTATTTGTCAATATTTCAACATTCAACAAGGTCAAAGAGCACATAGCACATATGTTTAGCACGTGTTTTTACATCATTCATTGCACATTTACTTTTATTTGACATATACTCTCCCAAAAGAAACGCATATAAGAATTCCAACTGTATTTTTATGTTTATTTTGAAACATCTTGTAGGCTTTATGAGTCAATGAAATATAGCGAAATTGCACACTGGGAATGCAGACTTATCCGTCTTTGGCACCAACTCGAGGAAAGTCAGTTTTAGTGTCACATGGAGACGTGTGGTGGCGCTGAAGTCAATACCTCGTGTGACCACCGTGAGCATCCAGAACTGCACGGCATCGCCTCGGCATCGAACGAATAAGTCTCAGAATCTCGGTTGCCCAATCGCAGACCACTCTGCCTTAGTGCCTGTGCGTCTGGGGCTGACGGCGTCGCACCCGTCTGTCCAGGGCATCCCACAGATGTTCGATCGGGTTTAAGTCCGGTGATCTTGAGGGCCAGGGGAGCACATTGATGTTGTGGTTCTGGAGGAAGTCTCTAGTGTGACGTGCTGTGTGGGGCCTGGCATTGTTCTGTTGAAACAACTCCCTCTGGCGATCAATGATTGGAAGGAGGTGTGGGCGTAGGATTTCGTCACAGTACCGTTGAGCTGTCAGGTTGCCCTGGATCATCACCAAATCACTTCTCCTACGGCAGGTGATCGCTCCCCACATCATAACACTGTCCAGGCCGAATCTGTCCACCTGGGGAACGCAAGCGTCGGCGAAACGTTCACGTCGACGTCTGTACACCCGCATTCTTCCATCGCGTCGTTCCAATAGAAATCGTGATTCATCACTGAACCAGATTCTACGCCAATTCGGTAGGTTCCAGGCCTGAACGTTGGTGCACCATTGAACTCGATGTCGACGATGTTGTTGTCGAAGCACAGGGCCAAAATAAGGTCTTCTGGCACGTAAACCAGCCTCTCTCAACCTGTTCCTGACGGTCTGTGCAGAAAGCCTCCTCAATCCGGGTATTTGTCGAGCGGTACTGGTCGCCGTAGCTGTTCGATGACGCAGGTGATGTACCCGGATGTAGCGATCCTGCGCCGCAGTGGTCGCTCGAGGTCGCCCACTACGAGGGGCATCTGCTACCGCATTCTGCCGGCGATATCTCTCCCAGAGCTGTGAAATGGTGCTTTGGTGAACATTCATGCGTCGGGCAACTGCACGTTGAGACTGGCCAGCTATGACGGTTGGCGATTCACTTGGCTTCAGACGTGGCATTTTGCGTTCGTCAACAATATTCCAAATACAGTGAATAATCGACAGACAGCGATCAACCTTTTATACCCATCATTGAGACTATCTGATCCCCAACTTTCACGTGCATTGCATGTGAATTGTGTATTCTGTGACACTACACACCGAAATTGAAAATCATGCTGTTAAATACGGGTATTTTACGGATGGTGCGTTTTGTTGTGATGTTTCAAAACATAAACACCATAGGACTCATAAACAGAGCAAAACCTTTTTGTAAAATGAATCACGTTTTAATTCATTGCTACATGGACTTGCTATTTTCATGATGCGTTTCTTTTTTGGGAGAGTATATTTATACAATGCCAATGAGCATACATTAATCATACATTATGTGACATTTTGATACAATGCCAATGAGCATACTTTTATTCATTTGTCATTTATGTTGTTGGATTTATGTTAAAGAATTGAGTTAATTACACGAATCAGTCCCTGCTGATCCCATTAATCATCGATGAAACATGAAAAGGGATCAAAGATCAGCAGAACCTTTAATCTAAAGCTAAAGACGAGGATGGGGATTTTGTCCGTTTTAATGTTAAGGATTAGGGGCGGGCGGTGGGGGAGAGATAATGTCCGGGGTGGGTTGTGTTTTGTTTGTTTGTATTGTTGTTTTGTGTGTGGGTTTTGGGGTTGTTGTTTTATTTTTTGTGTGTTTTTTTGTTGTTTGTTTTGTTGGGGATTTTTTTTGTTTTTGGGGGATTTTGTCCTTGATTCCATTTTCTGATATCACTTGAATACTGAGTAAAAGCTCTTCTCACACATCCACCCACCCACCCAGTGACTCACTCATTTAATCCAACATCATGGTTCTCTAAAATGAATGATAATTGATTTGTATAGCGCCTGGTTTCCAGATTGGACATGACTGCTCAACGGCGCTTGTTGAAGTGAGCGGGGGAAAAGATATGTCTTCAGATGAGTTAGAAAAGAGTCTTTTGTTTGACAGTTTCTGATTTCCAGTGGTAGAGCATTCCACAGTTTGGGAGCTGCAAAGCATAGAGCCATTTCACACATCTTTGTTTTAGTTTTAGGAACATGAAGTAGTTTATCATCGGCTGATCTTAAAGCTCTTGTGGGTTGGTAGTGATGTAACATGTCCTTAATATAGGTTGGGGACTTTTCATCATTTAGTGCTGAATATGTGATATAAAACGTCAACCCCATCTTCTCGAGGTAAGAGTGAGTGAGTTTAGTTCTACAATATTCCAGCTATATGGCGGCGGTCAGTAAATTTCGAGTCTTGACCAGACAATCCAGTGATTTATAACAGCTTAAGCATCGATCTACACAAAAGGGAAACGATAGCATTTGTCAACCCAGTCAGCGAGCCTGACTATCCGATCCCGTTAATCGCCTCCTACGACAAGCATGGGTTACTGAAGGTTCATTCTAACCGGAATCTTCACGGGTCCAAGGTAAGAGGATCCACTCTCTTTCATCTTATTTGATATAGGTTAGGGGACACACTTTCCTCGGGAATGTGTGCAAACCCTTAGGCTGCCTGAGAGTGAAACAGTGTACACAACATTGTAGATTGTAGCCTCCATTACATAGATGGTGAAGGAGTCTTTAAAATAATGACACTTAAGTTATACTTGACCGAAACGATGTTCTTAAGTGTCCGCTTTAGTATTTCCAATGGTTTCAATGTAGAGTTCGTGTGTTACACGCCGGTAAGCAGATTGTTAGGCGATTCTGTTGAGGAATGAAGGCATTATTAATCATACCCAGGGTATCTTCAATGACAATACCGTCTTACATTAAAAAACATGGTTTCTGTTTTTGCTCTAAAATCATTCAGTCTGTTACAGAAATAGAAATATGCATAAACTTTTAGTTGTTTTAGTGATTTCTCAAAAGTGAATAAGGAAATCGGGAATATGTTTATTAAATTAACAAATAAGACCAAACTGAGATAATGCGCTTGAATGGGCGCTTCAACATCTCTTTTGACTGAATACAGTCCGGCCTGGATTATTCGGACAAAAGTCCATCACCAACTGGTTTCAGCTGTCATGGAACGCTATTTACAATGT